AGGCAAACGCCCTACCCGCTGTGCTATTGCTCCAGCCCCCTATTCTGCCACTGATTAGCTGATTGATTTGAGTATAAACTCCACCTTACTTTTTTTTATAGTTTTATTTATTTATTTTTCTTCTTATATTTATTTATTGAATAAATAAAATATTTATTAAAATATTTATTGGGAAAAGTTACTAAGCTTTCAGGTTTAAGTCTCGGTCATACAATGATCAAACACCTTTCCCTTCACCAGTACTCATTTTTCACAACCAACAAGCCCATATACCCCCCTCCCACCCCTCCCAATGCCTGTGAGGCAGATGATTTCCACTTAACTTTTCTATACATTGATTACATTCATTATTTCGACAAAAGATGCACCATTACTGTTTAGAATTCCGCCCCCCCCCCCCAACAATCAGAATTGCTGAAAAGGCATTGTGAAATACTTTGTTTTCTATAGCTGGTTATGAGAATTATATAATGATTTTGGATTTCTGCAAAGAGCCAGATAATTACGAGATTGGTTTCTGTGAGTCTGGTGTTATGGCCGTGCCGGAGAGCCACTTGTGGGGGGCAACTCGTGACCTCGGTAGGGCATGAAGGACAAGCCGGTACCGTCCCCCTTCCCATGAGACTGCAGTTGCCCCATCACTGCTGGCTCATACCGGGCTTTCCAATAAGCTTTGAGGCTGCGGCCACCTTGTTGGGGGGGTGGGGGAGGGGCGGGGGGAGAGGCGGAAGGGAGCAACACCCTTTCCCTCTTGGGGAGGCCTGGCGCCATAATTTAATGCATGGTCCATTCACTTTTCTGCCGCAAGCTGCCGGGCACTGGATTAAGTCCTTTTGCCTCTGACGCCATGGCCATGCTGGAGAGCCACTTGTGGGGGGCAACTCATGACCTTGGTAGGGCGTGAAGGACGAGCCGGTACCGTCCCCCTTCCCATGAGACTGCAGTTGCCCTGTCACCGCTGGCTCATTCCTGGTTTTCCAACAAGCTCTGAGGCGGTGGCCACTTTGTATGCGGTCCAGATGCATTTCTGCCAAAAGCCGCTGGGTTTTGAGATTTGTTTCTGAGTCTCTGGGATCATGGATGTTAATCAGCTTGATAAGGAGCCAGAGAGGCCGTTTGTAGGCGGCAACTCGGGGTCTCGTTGGGATGGGGAGGAAAGGCCGGTTCCACCCCACTCTGGTGAGGCCCTGTGTGTCTCGTCACTGCAGGCCTAAACCTGACTGTCCACTGGCCTCTGGAGGATGGCAGTCACCAGGCCGTCAAGGCACGAAACCTATTCCCACCTGGAGTGGCCCAGCCCCAGTAACCTACTGCAGGAACAGGACGCATTTCTGCAAAAGCCTTTTGGTTCCGAGATTCTTTTCTGAGTCTCTGGGATCATGGCCGTTAAGCAGTTCGATAAGGAACCAGAGAGGCCATGCCTCCACTTATATAACTGAGCTGGAGGTGGTTTGTGGGTATATCTCCCTCATACCTAACTTTTGGCTGTTTACTTTCTTGGTAAACTTTGCCCCAAGTTTTTGGGGTCTGGCCAAAGGTACAGCAACAATTTTGGGGTATCTGGAAGTCTGAAGGCGCCACCAGACTGCTGATGTACTCGCCTCACAGGTACAGATTCTGGGGCACCATACCCACTAAAAAACTTAAAAAAAAAAAAGTTTTTGTGTGTGTTGTCTGTGGCCCCAAAGTTAAATAAATAAAGTGTTCATGTAACTCAAATTCCTCTAAAACCCTCTGTGAGGCCACAAAGCAGATCTGGGGCCACGTTGGCCCCCGATCAGCACCTCAGAGTTAGGTTCTAGAAGGCTGAAGAATTCTTACCATTCCCTCACCCTAACTTAGTGAGCACAAAGATTACCATCAAATGACTCAAAACAAATGCTGTGGATGAGGTTTTCTTGGAAAGTCCTTGCCCTGAGCCACACAGAGCTACCAGTAGCTCACGGCAGAAGAAAACCAGCCATTACTTTGTTCCCAAACTGTTTCCGGGCTTTTCAGCAATTATCCAGGCCACCATCCCTGTGAGTTCTTGCACCCTTCGGGCCCTGCAGTGAGCTACCTCCCTTTGGCTTGTGCCAGCAATACTGGACTCTGGAGGGGAGTTGCCCGGTGCCCGGACAGTCACCCTTTATACACCCGGTCTGGTCTAAAGTCCTCCAGGGGTTGGAGACCAGTACAGTGGGGAGCGTGCTTGTCTTATACATGTCTCACTTGGGTTTGATCCCCAGTACCTTATTTTTTTTGGCTTTTTGGGTCACACCCAGCAATACTCAAGGGTTACTTCCTGGCTCTGTACCCAGGATACTCCTGGTGGTGCTCCAGGGACCATATGGGATGCTGGGAATCAAATTTGGGTTGACCACATACAAGGCAAATGCCCTCCCCTCTGTACTATCACCTCGCCACCCCCCAGCTCTCCCACCACCACCCAGTATCTTCTGTGGTCCCCCAAGCCTTCCAGGGGTCATTCCTGAGTGCAGAGCCAGAAATGAGACCTGTGGGGCTGGAGTGATGGCAAAGCAGGTAGGGCATTTGCCTTGCATGTGGCCGACCCAGGTAGGATTCCCAGCATCCCATATGGTCCCCTGAGCACCTCCAGGAGTAATTCCTGATTGCAGAGCCAGGAGTAACCCCTGAGCATCGCCGGGTGGAACCCAAAAAAGCAAAAAAAACCAGAAATAAGACCTGAGCATCGCTGGGTGTGACCCAAAACCAAAAGAGAGAGAGAGAGAGAGAGAGAAAGAGAGAGAGAGAAAAAAGAAGGAAGGAAGGAAGAGAAAGAAAGGAAGGGAGGAAGGAAGGAAGGAAGGAAGGAAGGAAAGAAGACAATCTTCTCCTGTCCCCAAGACAGTAATAGCCGATCATACACCGCACTGTGTGTGGAACTTTATGGCCTCCTGTTGCGGGTAGAAACCTTTAGGTGGTTTTATTTGTTTCCACACTTGGCAAGTGCCAGGGTTGTGCCAGGTGCCTGCAACATCGGAGGGATTTACTGAAGAGGAACAAGGCCTTTGGCGACTGGCAGTCCTGCATTCCAGCCCTGGCCCTGGAACTTACTCACCGTGTGACCTTCGTCAGACAACCTGTGCTGTGTCTCACTTTCCTCATCTGGGAAATGGGAGTGGCGCGAGGGTACAGAATTTCCAGGGTAGGCAGGGGGAGTCGATGACATCACTCTTGGCACATACTAGGAAAATGAGCGCAGAGTTGCTTTTTGCCCTCTGCTGCTGGTATCAGAGGCTGCGGGTTCTGTTTTCCTTTGTTTATTGTCTGCTGGCTCCCTGGGACGCTCCTCGCCCCTCGGGGGAGAGAGAAGGGCCTTGTCTGTCTTGCTCATCCCCTCTTCCCCACCCAGAACACTCCTGGCACAGAGTCGGCGCTCCATAAATATTTGTCTGATGAATGAATCACTGCCTTTCACATTCCTGCTCTAATTGCCTTTGCCACCATGTGCCCTGCCCGGGAGGTGCCCATGTCTCCGGGAGTCCAGAAGAGCCTCCCTGACCTCATTAGCCAGCTGTTCACAGCAGTGCTGGGCATGGCTGGGACTGTCACCAAATGGGCTCTGTGCCCTGAGCTAAGCGATGCTGCTCGTGTGTCTTCTGGTGGAGCTCAGCAGGGAAAGGCGCTGAGTCTGAAGCCCGCTCCCCGCACCCCTACCCCTGCCCCCGTCCCCCACTCAGGGGCCTGCCAAACTCCAGGAGCCCGAGAGCAGGCGGGTTTCCTAGGATGGATGCCCCAAGGCCCCAATCATGAGCCGGTCTTTGGGCGCCAGGTCATCCTCTCTGGCATCCTGCTGATGCCCAGAGAGAAAACCTTCCAGGGGAAAAGACTTCGCAGACTGTCAAGTGCCTCCGGACCGATCTTAGGTGGAAAGGAATGGAAATGCCCGCAGAGTGCGGGCTGCAGTCTCCAATGCAGTTCCTTCCAGCGGGGCGCGGCAGATGCACACTGAGGGGCCTCCTGGAGAGAGAGCAAGCTGAGCAGCGAGGATGAACGCCCCCAACCCCCGCCGGATGCCCGGGGAATCCCAGCCCGCCCAGCCCGCCTGGCAAACTCCGCTTCCCGCTCGAGTCCACAGCGCGAAACCTGCACATCTGCGGCACACGCTCGTTCCCCCGGTTCTAGCCAGCGCCAGGGCAGTTGTTCCAACCGTTATATAATTCCCCGAGTCCAGGAAAGACGATCAAAAGACAGGGCTGGTGAAATACATGTCGGAGAACGAATTTTTAAAAAATCTCCCGCAAATACAAAAATCTCTCTCTCTCACACAAACTAATGCCCATATTCCCCACCACTCAGAAGCAATAACTGCTCACATTTCGACTCATCTGGAAGAGGGTACGTTTTAATTAGTCACCAAATAGCGCTTTCTCTTCCCAGAGTAAGTAAATTTGAATGCAAAGCTAAGACAACCGACTTATACCTACTTATATCTATTCCCCCCCTCCACCTCCACCCCAGATTCCGTCTTCAGGGGGTAAATTCCAGCGCCCCTGGGTTCCCCGGCTGCGCTTTCGATGCTGCAACATCTGGCCCCAATAAGCAGCATCCGGCAAAGGTTGCATCCTCGGGGCTTAAGAGCTGCACGCCCGCCCCACGCCCCAACTCCGGCGGCGCCGAGCAACTTTACAACTCAAGCTCCCGCCACGGGGGCCTATTTGCGCGACCCGTTTGGCGGAAGGATCCTGAGCGCGGGCGCGAAGCTGCGCAACCGTCTCCTCCCCTGCCGCGCCCCGGCCCCGCCCCGCCCGGGCCCCGGCCCCGCCCCGCCCGGGCCCAGGCCCCGCCCCGCCCGAGCCGGGACCCCGCCCCCCGGGGCCCAGGCCCCGCCCCGCCCCTCCCGAGGCCCGGCCCCGCCCCCCGCGCGCGCCGGCCCCGCCCCCGCCCCGCGCCCTTCTGGCCCGCAAAGAAGTCCCGGCCGGGCCGCTGCACTCCCCGCGCGCATCCGTGCGCCGCCCGAGGCTGGCCGGGCAGTCGGCCGCCATCTTGTTCTTCTCGTGGTTCCAGTGGGGAGAGCAGGAGGAAGCAGGGTGCGGGGCGGCTGGGGGGGTCCCGCCGCGGCTGCTGCCACCGCCGCCACCACCGCCTCAGTGCTCGTGGCGTGGGGGAGGAGGCGTGAGTCCCGGGCGCGAGCCGGCGGCGGCGGCGCCGCTGCGGGAGGGCCGGCGGGGGACGGCGATGGCGGATATCGACAAACTCAACATCGACAGCATCATCCAACGGCTGCTGGAAGGTGAGCGCCGAGGGTCCCCGCGGCCCGGGGGGCCTCGCCTGCCGCCCGAGCAGCGGTTGGGAGCGGGCGGGGGGCGGGGGCGGACCGCGCGCCGGGGAAGCCCCCGCCCGACCCGGGCGCCCCTCTCGGCTGCCCGGGGCCTGGGCGGGCTCCCCGCGCCCTGCTGGACGCGGGTCTGGACTTGCAGCCCGCGGCGGCCCCTTCCCCCCGGCGTCGGGCTGTCGGGGTGAGTTCCTTGTTTATTTTATTTCTTTAAGAAAATCGCAGCCCGCCCCCCGTCCCTTCCCGCGTGCGCACGGTGCCTTGAACGCTCCCACCGACCTTGCGAGGTTTAGGGCCATTGTTTTGTTTTGCTGCTTTTTTTTTTTTTGAATTTTTCTCACCCACCCACCCCTCGTTTTACAGATCAAAGGTGAATGGCACTTGACCAAGGTCGCGCGAGCTCGGAAACGCGCAGGAAGGAGAGGTGGCCCCGTGGTCACGCAAAGGTTAAGCTAGAACTGCAGTTTGGGGGTCGACCACCCCGTGGGGGGGGAGGGGAGACGACGCGGGAGGCGCCGGCACTGGACGCCTCGAGATGGGGTATGGGGGGTGGTTCTAGAGCCTGTGGACAGAGGCGAACTTCCCTGGGAAATCGGGGATCCGGGTCCGCCTCTTGTCCGGGCCACCGCATCGCGGAGAGTCGACTTGGCGCACTCTCTGCGCTCTGCCTTTTCCTCCGCCCTCGGACGTGGTGGGAACTTGCCGCGGGGGGCCCGAGCCCGGGAGGGTTGTGCTGTGTTGGGAATTCTTGTGTTTCTCATAAGCTCGGGGTCACTTCAGCCCTCCCGGGAAGCCTTTGCCGGAGGTCAGCGCACTGCACTGCAACTTGGAGAGCTTAGAGGGACAGTAAGCCCGCTGGCACCTCCGGAGTTGTCCCTCCTCCCCGGGCTGCAGCTTTATCTTAACCTTTGCGCGACCGTGGCACTCCTGTTGGGCGGGAAAGACGGGAAATTGGGGCCAGAGACGCGCTTGGTTAGTGACCTCCTTCAAGGAGCAGGCGAGGTCCAGCCTTCGCCTTGCTTAGCAGACGGTCTGATGGAACTCATGCAACATCTTGGTTTGCAAGAAGCGTTTTGGGGGGGGGGGGGAACTGGGCCACTGTCAGTGTCAGGCTAAGCCATGCTCCGCATAATTTGCCCCACTTGCCTTAGTGAGCTCAGTGTCACCTCTGCCCTGCCCCGGGGAATGCGTCAGCCAGTTTAATACTGATTTGTAAGAGTTCATCTGCAGATAGCGAGTTGTTTAGCCTTTCGGTGTAATATTAAACATGTTTTTTTTCTGGTGTTAAAAAAAACAGTCTCTGGTCTGAAGATAATAAAGGAAGAACATACAGCAAGAAACAGTTTTCCCCCTCCCCCCAACACACACACACAGCTTTATTTGCTGTCCAAAACTTAAAGGGCTGGAGCACTCGCTTTGCATGCAGGAGTCTGATTTTGGTCCCTAGCACTACAAGTTGTGCCCCCCCCCCAAAAAAAAAAGCTAACCAAGAAATACAGCAACGACTTTTTAAATTAATGCAGTAGATCATTTTAATAATTAAAGTGTTTGGGTTTTTGTTTTGGGGACACCCCTGATAGTGCTCAGGGGTTACTTCTGGCTTTCCACGCAGGAATCACTCCTGGTGGGGATCGGGGAGTTATGTGGGATGCTGGGATCGAACCCCCGGTGGCCACATGCAAGGCAAGCACCCTACCCACTGTACTGTTGCTCGGGGCCTGTCACTGATGGAGACAGTCTGTTCAGAGGCGGGGTCCTTGCTGAGCTGTGTGGGAACCTGCTCTGGTAGCGCGCTGCTCTCGAGCCTGCAGTACCTCCTCATTTGCAGTTGCAGGAGGCAGCTGGGTGGCTGTCATGGGGTGGGTGCCAGCCTTAGGTGCTTGGGACTTGGTGGGGAGGTGCAGGTGCTGCCCCTGGCCGGGCGGGTTTCGGAACCCGCTTGCAGTGGAAGCTGATGACTCAGTTCTGCCTTTGAAGCAGCAATCTGGTAATGACTTGGTTCTTCTCTGCAGTAGCATGTGGCAGTGCCAGTTGGTCCACTTGATTCGAGAGTTACTGGTCCTGAAGCGGGGAAGTGAGATTACAGGGACTCGGCTTATTTAATTCGCCATCATGGCCATTAGTATATCTTCAAAGTGGAAATGTGAAGGATAATGTCAGTTACTTTTGTAGGTAAGGAAACTGGAAAGTTGAATTCAGTAGGAGTAAGGTTAGATTCTCTGTGGGGGCGACAATTCTAGAATGAAATTTCTAGACTCAGACCCTGGAGAGAAAGATGGGGGCGGGCTGGGGGAAACCACCTGGTGGAGGAATCAGCCTTGAAACATTTTGTGTTGACACACCTTGTCAGGAACCACTTTGTAACTGTATCCCATGGCTCAATAAATAAATTGAATCCACCCCTGAATCCAAAGCTGCATACTCGGATGCGTTTATGGTTCACCTGGAGCGGAAGTCACTGTGTCTGAGGAGAACAGCTGCAAATGAGGGTCGGGTGTGGCATCTAAATGGTGTCTTGTCAAAATGGGTCGGAAGGTTAAGCATTTTTCAGTAAATTGCCATTGCATTGAAAGCAAAAGTAGTGTCTTTGCAGCTTTATCTTGTCTGCGAGGTAATGTTTGTGGCGTATAGTTTTTGTAGAGAACGCAGTTGTAGGGAGTTTTGTGTCGGAAATGTTCGCCTTTTGTTTTGATTTATTTTCTAAAATCTGTCAAATGTTAGATTATTGATTCTGTCACTGGAATGAATATGATGAGACATATTCGTGCGATTCGCCTACTTGAATGGAATCATCTTAAAACAGCAAAATTTCTGTTAACTTATTTTTTATATTGGTAGTGTTACTCTTGGTTTCTCAAGCTTTAATATAGCTGGGCTGTGTGTGTGTTGCTTTGAACAGCAGAAAGTAGTTCCTTTATCGCTCCGAACTCGTTCCACAGTACTTTCTTCTCTGTGGTCCTCACCTCTGCCTTGTGCCAGACTGGTCGAATCAGGTTCTGGTGAGGGGAAGCTGGCATTGCTAATTACCATCTTTCCAGGGTTTGTTGGTTTGTCTTTTGTGGACCTGCACGGAGTTTTTCCGCCCTGTCCTCTGCCTGTTCTGCGGGACAGTGTTGATAAGAAGGCCAACACACGTTTTCCCCGAATCTGCCTTTCCACCCGAGAGAGGAACGCTTCAGTGCCGAGCGCTTGCGTCAGTTTGTGGTGCCTGAGGACTATTTCTGTGTAATGTCTGGCACCTGGCTTTATGAGGCACGCCATCTGGAGAGTGGCATTCTTATTTGTTTGAATATTTTGGATTTCTTTGGCACTTGTCAAAATAATATGATATCTGTGCTTGGGATTTCAGGTGGTGCCTGGGAAGGTCACAGAGCCCTTGCCATTGAGGCTCCCCCCTAGGGTCTCCTGGGTCGCTGTCAGGGAGGGTTTCCATCTCTAGAGCTATGCTGTGAGCAGTTTTCTTTGCCACTAGCAGTTCCAGTAACAAGTCGGTCTTTAATGGTAACCAGGACACCATGATGAGTGTTCAGGCTACTGGAGGAGCGTGCCCTAGTCTTGGGGTTTCCAGCAGTCTTCACTTCCCTGGTTCGTGGCATTTTTCTGCGCCTTCCACAAGAGTGATGGCTGCCATGCTGGGCCCAGCATCCGACTGAGGGTCGCTGAGCCCGGAGCTTCCCGGCGGGTCTGTCTTTGGATGTTCGAATCAGACTCATGGATAATCTAAACAGGGGACATTTCGTTTTCCTTAGTGCTTCCCGTTTCATTTTCTACCTTGTGTCAGATCTTTTTTAGGGAGCAGTGATGGCCCAGTGGAGCTTGGTAATATGTCCTATAAACAGTCCTCTGGCTGGGACAAGCAGATTCTTGGTCGGGAGGGCGGCACATCCTCCTGGACATCCGAAGCGCCTCTGGGTCTGAGCCGGGAGCCTGGAGCGAGGCCCCGAACTCTCCTCCCAGCCGCAGAGAAGACGGTCCTTGTGTCAGGATTACTAGCACGGCACCCAGCGCTGGCGGGCAAAGGCCCACTCAGGTTTGCATTTGAAACTCTGAGGGCAGGGGTAGGTTTCAGTGCTGTCCTCTGCTGTGCTGATTGTAGAATACTGGCTGAAGAGGCAGTGGGCCACCTCATGCTTTGCATGCAGGAGATCTGGGTTCAGGGGTTTGGTCCCCAAACACCCCCCAAAAAGGGGGGGCAGTATCTATAGTGTTCTTGAATTGCCAAAAACAGCTTTTGAAACTTTAAGTTGCTGTGCAATTTAAGAGGAGGCTAAATTTTCACAGCTGGTAGAGCATGATCTGAAAAAGGAGCCAGGTTCTCAGCAGCGCTGCGCTTGTCCCCTGCCTGAACCCTACACCCCGCATGTGATTGTAAAGCTCAGAAGCTTTGTTGCTTAGCGGACGTATATAGTCTGGTTTGGTCTGCTGAGATGCACGCTTCTGTAGAATGAGCAGGTTAATAGCACATAGTGTGTCTATTGTTGCTACACCTGTGTCTTGGCCTCACACTGATCGTGAGCAGGCACACCTCCGAACAAGACCTCTTTGGCCCTGGTCCTCACAGACAGGTGGACCTGGGCAGCGAGCACAGTGTCCATGAGTGGTGGCCATGTGGGGAGAGCAGGGGGCAGCTGAGACTCGCAGGGGAAACAGTAACTCAGCGGGCTTCTCAAGGAGGAGCAGCTATTGGCCAGTTGGTAAATAAAAGCCAGCCTGAGTTTTTTCCAGAAAGAAAAGTCTGTTAACTCACCATGCTTTACATTCCATTCATGGCCGGGTTTCGTGCATACAGCACACTGACCTGCTCACCCGCCACCGGAGTCCACTTGATTCCTTTTTGTTTGTTTTGCTTTGGGACCGGGGATGCTCAGAAGTGACTCCTGACTCTGTGCTCAGGCATCGGTCCTGGTAGGACTTGTGGAACCAACCATGTACAGGGTCTTGGGTTGTAAGAGAGGCCACATGAAAGGCACTTGCTCCCTGTACTGTCTCTGGCACTGTGGGTTTAATTCTTGGAGCAAAGTATAAGGAGTTTTTTAAAATTCAAGACCATGTTGTCTTGTGAGCTCTCTCCTTTGGATCTAGTGTAATACTCAGGAAAAACTGGATTTGTTCCACATTAGTCTTTAAATTGTTGTCATTGGTTTTGAGTAATCTCTACGCTTTCGGATGACGAAAGTAGAATAAAAAACCAACACAACGATGAACTGTCTAAACGTGGTGATGGGAAGCGATTTGCCTGGTAACCTTGGTCAGATCTGCTGGCCTTTGTGGCAGGCCTTTGACACAGGGTGGTGTTTGTGGGCACTGCCTGCTGCCTGCACCTGGCCAGCGCCCTCTGTCGTGTCTGGGGACCTGGCAGTCCTGCGCGCCGCATAGCACCCAAATGCTGGCCACACCCTAAAGTCCACTGGGACTGGCCTGCTTGTTCCCACACGTGACTCTGGGGAAGGTGGAAACCAAAAGTTTCTTGGAGCCCTTCTGAGTCGAGGGGCGGGGGCTGGCCGGGGTGCTTGCCTTTTCCATGGGGAGTTTCTGGAGTTTCCGCTTTGTGTTGGGAGAGAGATCACTGTGGCTGCCCTCTCAGACTCCTGATGCTGTCACCTGTGACCATTTCGGGTCTTCCTCCAAGGGTCGAAAGTCTTTACCTTCCAGTGGGGGTCTTGGAATGGGGCCGCAAGTCTGTTGTTTAGGCATTTGGGGTTCAGACAGTGAATTAACCTGAGGCTACAGCACAAACTGCCTCCTCGCCCCTCTGCAGCCTCTCTCAGCAGTGCTCTCTTGGCTATATGTGTTTGCTCCTTCCCGTTTGTCATCCTTTCTTGCTTATATTTCTTAATAGCAATACTAATAATCCTGCCCTTCTACACAGTGTTTCATTTTCACGTAAAACATGTCTCTCAAGAATGCAGGGTTTTGGGGGCTGGAGCAATGTCAGTGGGGAGGGCTTTCATCTTGCATGCCGCCAACCTGGGTCTGGTCCCCAGCATCCTATAGGGTCCCCTGAACACTGCTAGGAGTGATTCCTCAGTGCAGAACCAGGAGTGACCCCTGAGCATCACTAGGTGTGACCCAAAAAGCAAAAACACACACCAGGGTTTGGGGCTTTTTGGGACAGTGAGACTTTGCCTGAGGTGATATTTCTTATTTTGCGGTGCCGAATATTGAACCAAGGCTTTCGAATATACACAGCCTCCCCTCCCTTTTCAAAATTAGTAGAAGTATTTTTTTAATCTGACATTGTGTTTCATATGTGGAGCTCGTGATGGTAGTCTCATGCCTCACCTGTCACGGTAGATGTAGTTTACTAAGTGCCCGCCCAGTGGGCCACTCGCTCCGGCAAGACTCCGCCCTCCAGCACTGCAGGGGTGACTCCCCGAAACTGGACCATGGGGTGCAGGGAATTGAACTGGGTCTCCTGCATGCACAGCAGGTGCTCAGCCCAGTAGCTGGCCCAATAATTTCTCAGAAAAAGTCTCAGATTTTTTTCTTGTAATTTTTAGTATCTAAAGTGAAGTAGTTATTATAGAGTAGATTACTGTCAAGTTAAAACTGTTGCTTTTTGTTTGATGGTTTGTTTGGTTTTGCTTTTTTCACAGAGCACCCCTGAGCTGCACCTGGCCCGAGCACTGACCCCCACCCTGGCCTGGGTAGGGGAGTATCTCTGTGAGGGCCCCCCCCCCCCCAAACAAAAGCTAAAGAAAACCCTGGCCCTTGACAAGCTGTTAGGTTTTACAATTTGATACAAAGTATTTTCCAAGATCTCAGATTTTATGATTTGATACAAAGTCTCCAAAACCAAGATTTAGTTAGCAACATTGACTTAATCTGGTGGGTTTGGGAGGTTCCTGACAATTAGTCACCATAGAGGCTTACATTTCTTGATTTAGTCCTGTCCTGTGTCTTGACTTAATTTTTAATTCAGAGAATGCCTACTTTTAGAATTCGTTTTTTATTTGGGGTGGTGGGGGGCATGCCCTGTGATGCTCAAGGGTTACTCCTAGAGGTGCTTGGGGCCCATTTGGCTGTCAGTCTGTTGTAATAAACCCAAACCATTTCCTCATTTCCTTCCGCCTGCCTGTGTGGACCAGAGGTGCCCAGGTGCCCTTGGCTGCTGGGTGGCGGGCTGCGATGAGGGCACTTGGGTGGTGCCCGCCCACTTTGGGCTATGCTTGCTTTCTCGTCTAGGAAACCCTTGGCTTAATTCCTTTCCTCCAGCGCATGCCATCATCCTTGGAATACAGGCCTGCTAATACAGGGGCAGGTAATTTCCAAGGCACCATCTGCAGGAACTGACAATATGTTAATGAGATTTTTTTTTAACCGTGTAATTTGGGGGCTGAAGATAGTACAGCAGGGGGAAAGCTTGCCTTGCAGGTGGCCAGCCTAACCCGGGTTCACTCCCACAGCACCCCAAATGGTCCCTCGAGTCCTTCCAGGCAAGATCTCTGAGCACAGAATCAAGCACAAACCCTGAGCACTGCTGGGTATAGTCCCCAAACCCATTTAAAAAAATGCTTTTCATAGATTAAATCAGGGCTCCTCAAGGAGATGACAGCCGTGCTCCTCTGGAGGATGCTTTTGGCATTTCTCATCTCCCTTCTGAAACAAGGCGTTCTTAGGGGCGTCTCGGTGATGCGGCAGCCTCTGAACTCGGCCTCACAGCTGCAGATCTGCTCCCGAGACTGCGAAAGCCTGCTGGGCCGGGGAGGGCGCGAGTGGGAGGCCTCTCTCCAGACCGACAGCCTCTGGGCTAAGTTACCTGTATAAGTAAATGAGCTGAAATTCTAAGTAGGTGTTAAAACCTTTTTTTTGGGGGGGGGGGTGTCAGGGAGATCACTCAAAGATACGGAGCAAATGCTGCACACGTAGAAGGCCTGGGTTTGCTTCAGCATCCATGGTCCCCTGAGCACTCCACCAGGAGTAAGCCCTGAACACTGTCGGGTGTGGTACCCCTTCTCCCCAAACACCAAATAAAAGCCCTTGTTACGTGTCTTGAAAAATTAAGCCAGATCGAAAACTACTGTCCCCCTCTCATCCCCTGCAACTAGAACCATTTGTTGGATACTTTTTTTGGGGGGGGCGGGGGGGTGTCACACCTGGCGATGCACAGGGGTTACTCCTGGCTCTGCACTCAGGAGTTACTCCTGGCGGTGCTCAGGGGACCATATGGGATGCTGGGAATCGAACTCAGGTCGGCCGCGTGCAAGGCAAACGCCCTACCCAAGGCAAGCACCCTACCCGCTGTGCTATCTCTCCAGCCCCTGTCGGATACTTTTTAATCTTCACCAGAAATCACCTTCTGAGTCATTTGACTAATGGAGTTTTCATCCCTTGCAGTGAGGGGGGCCAAGCCTGGGAAGAATGTCCAGCTTCAGGAGAGTGAAATCAGAGGACTGTGCCTGAAGTCCCGCGAGATCTTCCTCAGCCAGCCCATCCTACTTGAACTTGAAGCACCGCTCAAGATATGTGGTGAGTGGGACCCATTGAGCACACGAGCCAGGCCATTCCCACAGCTCCTTGTGACTTTAGAATAAATACGCCAGTGGACTTGGTTTGTTTAGATAAACTTCAAATGCTCTGAAAAATTACTTTGTGGCGGGGCTAGAGTGATAGCACAGTGGGTAGGGCGTTTGCCTTGCATGCGGCAGATCCGGGTATGATTCCCAGCATCCCATATGGTCCCCTGAGCACTGCCAGGAGTAATTCCTGAGTGCAGAGCCAGAAGTAACCCCTGTGCATTGCCAGGTGTGACCCAAAAATCAGTCAGTTAATAAAATTAATTTGTTACCAAAAATTACTTTGTCACAGGAATACAAACAGGAGAAAGGATGAATGCAACAGTGTGGCGATCTAAGAAAGGGTCCTCTCAGCACGAATCAGGCTTTGCCCCAAAGAGATCTTCTGCCCTTTTATAACTATGCGTGATAGATGCAGAAACCCTGTGTAGTCTCTAAACTTTGAGGGATGCTATTAATGTTCCAGCGTATCTGGCGTTTTCTGGCAGGAGGAAATGAAACGCAGTCTCAGGGCAGGTGTGGGTCAGCCTTTGCTCAGTCAAGGGCGGCTGCTCGGCTGCTCTGCGGCCCTGCGGCCTGAATGGAAATCCCAGATAGTTGGCAAGAAGCCCTTCTTTGGCATTTGAATACTTTCCACAAAATAAATTCTTAATTAGTAAGGTTTTGCGTGAAATTCTGGACATAGACACAGACTTAAATATTTTATTATGCCCAATTAAACCAGACCTGGTGCCCGGCTGGGAACTAGTTGCTGTCAGGCCCTTGTGTTGTACGTTTAAGGGGCATCACCTGAAGCCTCATGTCTGGGCAGAGCTGTGCTGGCGAAGGCGCTAACGGAATCTTTGCTTTCAGGTGATATCCACGGGCAGTACTATGATTTGCTTCGGCTTTTCGAGTATGGTGGTTTTCCTCCAGAGAGCAACTACCTGTTTCTTGGGGACTATGTGGACAGGGGGAAGCAGTCGCTGGAGACTATCTGCCTCTTACTGGCTTACAAAATCAAATATCCCGAGAATTTTTTTCTTCTCAGAGGGAACCATGAATGTGCCAGCATCAATAGGATTTATGGATTTTATGATGAATGTAAGTACTGTTCTGTATCTAGGGGAGAGGGCTTGAAGTTGGGGTGTGGTTTAGAGGTTAGACGCCAGTGTCGAATCTCATATTTTTTATGCCATTGACTTGTTGAGGCTCAGTGTTGGCATCCTTGGTGCCCTGCTTCTGAGCCTGGCCAGAGCGAGCGGTATGATGGGCGCTTGCTCTCAGGCTGGTCACTGAATGTTCGCAGATGCCTGACTTCTTGGTGCAGTTCTGGGTACTGGCGCCATTTAATGGCTTGTTGAGATTCCCTTCTTCAAAACTTCTTTTTAAAGTAGTTCAATGATTTTTGATAAATCTGTAAAACAGCCCAGGCCGGCACTGATCTGCTTTCTATGTATAGATGTTTGTAGACACTTCATGGGAATGGAACCTCGGAATATCTTTTTGTTTAAAATTTGTAGTGCTGGGGCATTTTAACTTTATGTTTTCCTTTTTTGTGGCCCATTTTGAATTGGGTACTTGATAGTGCACTGGATAATTGACAGAAATAAGCCTTACTGCCTTGAAAATATGTTTGGTACAGGTTATTGTGTTTTCAAAACAACTATATAAAGAAAAAGATTTGAATCCTTCTGTCTCCGTTCTTAGTATTTCTACAAGAAAAGGTTCCATCCGAGAAGAGGGTGGTTGTAGTTGGAGACTGGGAGAGCCCGACCAGGCCCCGCCTGGCGTCTCAGGGAGGGTTCTCGGACCCTTTCTAACTAACCCTGTTTAAGTGCGCCCCTAGGAAGGTCACAAGGACAGGCCTCTCTCCTGCTGCTGTCTTGAGCCCCCTCGGAGAAGTGAGGTGGGTGGGGTCATCAGGGAGAGGAATCGGTCTTCTGAACTGTGGCCAGGCCGAGAACCTAGTAAGACAGATGCTGGGCCCAGAAAAGGTTCTTTGGGGGACCAGAGCTAGTGCCGTGGGTGGGGTACTTGCCTTGCATGTGGCCAAGCCGAGTTTGGTCCCGGGCAGTGCAAAGGGTCCCTGAGCACCACCAAGAGGAATTGTTGAAGACCACAGTTGAGTGTTACTTGTTTTCATACTTCGTAGCCATCAAGACACATTTTGCCTCAAGACTCTTGCACTCTGAAGGTTCAGGCTTAGGTAGCTTTTGTTAGTTTGCACACTTCTGTAAAAAGACCAGTGATGATGATGCTGGAATTTTAACTAAAGTTAAATATAAATTAATTTAAACTTTGAGGTTTAGTTTTTAAGATGAAAACTACAGGTCCAGAGTGCTGGCTAGTCTAACGGCCCCGGCATATCGTTTGTTCCCTCACACCCCGCCAGCTGTGGTCCCTGAGCACAGACAGATGTGGCCTGAAAGCCAAAAATAAAATGGAAAATACACTCCCATGAACCATTATTCAGAGCCAGACTTCAGTAGGAAATGGAAACGGATGCAAAGCATTTCTATAAATGAAGTTACCTGGGCCGCAGTGATAGCCCAGCACGGAGCTGACCGGGGTTCAATCCCTGGCATCCCATATGGTCCCCTGAGCATTGCTGGGCGTGACCCAAAAAGTAAAATAAATGAGTGAATAAAGTTGACTGGCCCTGTGGCTGGGGAGAGTCATGGCCTCCGCAGGGCCGCCCCTCTGGTCCCTGAGTGTGGCCCCAAAACCAAAAGAATCAGAAGATCCGGGTCTTGTTTCTTGGGCGATTGGAATTGGCGATGGTGACTGTGCGCTAGTTACCTTCTAGTCCCTGTAGAAAGGACTTCTGTCAAGCTTCTGAACCCTCTAGCAGGGACAGGGAGAGTTCTCAGCTTCCAAGAAACATTAAGCAAGTGGCAGAAGTAAGCTAAGCCGTGAGCTGTTTGTGTAGGACAGACCCCAGTTCTCTGCAGCAGGAAGGGCCAGATGTGTCGGATTCGTGCCCCTGTCCGGCCCCTGTGCTGACTGCCCAGTTAACAGCTCGCTTTGCTGCCGGGGGAGAGGGCAGGAGGCCAGACACCCTGATACGAGGGCCATCCCCGTCCTTTCACAGGTCAATACTGGCAAGTGTGGCATGCAAGGCAAACGCCCTACCCTGCTCTGCTGTGCTAACGCTTCAGCCCCAGCCACTCCGATTCTTACGGAACTGTCACAGGAAAACTACTTTGTGTTCAAAACCCAATTCCCAAGCTTGCCAGTATTGACCTGTGAAAGGACTGAGGGTCCCCCCCCAAGCACCGCCGGGAGTAATTCCTGAGTGCAGAGCCAGGGGTAACCCCTGAGCATTATTATGTGTGACCCAAAAAGCAAAGATAATCGGAATGGGTCAGAGCCATAGTACAGCACATAAGGCTTTGGCCTTACATGCAGCCAACCCGGGTTCGATTCCTGGCATCACAGATGGTCCTCTGAGCCTGGACACAGGCTGACTCAGGAAAACAAGGGAACACTGGGCATTTGTGCATTGTTATCCTGGGGGACCAACAGGGGGCAGTATAGTTCCCTGTGGCTGTTGGCCTCCTGTTTGCATAATTACAGCTGGAGAGTACCTGGGGCCCGGCAGTCATTGAGCCATTGAGCCATTGAGCGTGATGGGTGCTAATCTGAGCCTTCCTCAGAAGGAAGAGGCTACTTACTGCACATGTGTGAGTTGTTCATAATTCCTTTTTTTTTTTATTTTAAGAAAGGAATAACTGGTTGTTTGAAAATGGACAAAACAGTAGATTCCAGAGCTGCTCTGCCAGGCTGTTTCTGTGTAATGGTGTTCCTCAATCTGCCGGGATTCCAGTTTCAGATTTCTGTGGGATTTTTAGGTTTTAAAATTGCTCGTGGAGATTGAAATTGTTGTTTACAGATTGAACTCTGAGTGACGCGAGAAGCGTAGCTCTGCATCCGTCACGAGGGTCTGGACGGTAACCTGAGAGGTTGCCCAGTGGCGAAGCCCCTACCTAGCTGTAGAGGCTCACCCCATGTCGCTGCCCAGGGACCCGGCGCTGCCAACTAGCTCAGCAGCTGGCTCTCAGCCTGGGCCCTGATTTTTGAAAGGAAAGGGTGAAGGGGCCAGCGGAGATGGCCCAGAGGGGTCGTGCACGTGCTCCGTGGCGGGAACCTCAATTTGATCTCCAGCACCACGTGCGGGAGAGGGAGAGGCGAGTTCTCCTGAGATGGAATCTGCAGAACAATTCCTCGGTTTCTATTTTTAAAAATCCACCCTAAAATTTTACAGGCAAAAGAAGATACAACATTAAACTATGGAAAACTTTCACAGATTGCTTTAACTGTTTACCGATAGCCGCCATCGTGGATGAGAAGATATTCTGCTGTCATGGAGGTATGTGGCGCGGGGGACGGCATGGTGTGTGGCCACGGGGCCCCTTCGGCATGGTCGGGATCTTTGGCTCGAAGTCTGGTACAAGCAGTGGGAAATTCTAGATGGTGGATGTGATTGGAAAACAGAAGTGGGGCGGGAGAGAGTTCTGCAGGAAGGCACTTGCTTTGCACACTGCCGGCCTGGGCTACGGCCCCTGAGTGTCAGGTTAAGGCTGCGCACCTCTGAGTGTGCCCGCCACCGAAGAAGTGGGGAAAAGAAAGAAAGTGGAGCCGAGTTTTTCAAATCTGAAATTAAACGACCATGAGATCCAGCATGGTGTGCTTGACCGAAGTCCTGACCCACTGCCTTCCCTCGGGGACTCGGGCTCCGGCAGAGCTGAGCGTGTGGCGTTGGAACGCACACGGTCCCTGTGTCAGCCTGGCTAGTCCCCGTCTTCATGCTGGTCATTCAGAGTGGAAACGACATCAAGTGTCTCTCCTGTTCATTGTCATTAATGGGGACGCACTCTGGGGATGGGGCCGTTCCTGTCTGGAATTTGAATGTGTCGGGCTCAGTGTGTTGATCCAACTATCTCTATCTGCTGTGACTGTCAGGTTTGTACGTGAATACGTTCCAACTGTTTTTCTAGTTGAGGATTTGCTGTTGCACCCGCACGCTGGGGGTCGGACAAGGTGGGAGCTGCACCCTGCAGTGCTGGGGGGACATTAGTGCCAAGGATTAAATCCAAGCTTCCTACGTGCAGAGCTTGTGTTGGGCCTTTTGTGTTGTCTGTGGCCCTGGGGGGTGAGGGGTGGGCCCTACCCGAGGTGCTGGTGCCCGCTGAGCTGGCAGAACCTTGCCGAGTCTTTAGGCCTTGATGTAACCTTTGGCTCTTAGAAACCAAGGAAATTAAGTAACATTTTCTTTTTCAAAATGGATTTTTTTCTGCCCTTCTCCTAGGTTTATCACCAGATCTTCAATCTATGGAGCAGATACGGCGAATTATGCGACCAACTGATGTACCAGATCAAGGTCTTCTTTGTGATCTTTTGTGGTCTGACCCCGATAAAGATGTCTTAGGCTGGGGTGAAAATGACAGAGGAGTGTCCTTCACATTTGGTGCAGAAGTGGTTGCAAAATTTCTCCATAAGCATGATTTGGATCTTATATGTAGAGCCCATCAGGTATTGATTTTGAATTTTACATGTACACTTTAGAGCATGTGTGTGAGCAGATTCTCCTTGTTAGTTTGGTGGGTAGGTATTGCTGGTTCATACAGAATGTCTCTGAGTGACCTCAAGGCTGGCAGGCTCGGTGGGGAGCGGAGGTGTGGTTTACTGGCCTAAAGCGTGCACCTATTTATACTGAAAACATTTTTCTCCAAGGTGGTTGAAGATGGGTATGAATTTTTTGCCAAGAGGCAGTTGGTCACACTGTTTTCCGCACCCAATTATTGTGGAGAGTTTGACAATGCCGGCGCCATGATGAGTGTGGACGAGACGCTAATGTGCTCATTTCAGGTAACAACGCCTTTCCTGTTGCTTCCATATGCTGATTGGATAGTTTTCAGGCTGTTTTTGTTTTCCCTGAGTGTTTGTCCAAGTTAATGAGTAGATCCCTTTTATTTAATTTAAGTAGATCCCTTTTAAAAGAAGACTGTTTGGGGGCTGGAGAGATAGCACAGCAGGTAGGGCATTTGCCTTGCATGCGGCCGACCCAGGTTCGATTCCCAGCATCCCATATCGTCCCCTGAGCACTGCCAGGAGTGATTCCTGAGTGCAGAGCCAGGAGTAACCTCTGTACATCGCCAGGTGTGACCCAAAAAGAAAAGAGGGGGGAAAAAGACAGTTTTGCTGGAAACTCCCTCAGTGTTGAATTTCTGTTTCCTCTTGATTAAAATGGGTAAATACACAGATACCTTCTGTTTTCTTGGCTCCTTTACTACTGATCTGCTTGTGTCTGCAATGCAGAAGCTGTGTGCACTGTGTGATAGCTTCTCTCTCCCTCTGTTTTCCTCCTGTCTGTAAAGCCTTCCTGATACACCGTGACATGTCTGGCCTTCACTGGCTACAATAGCATTATTTTCACATCTGCTCTAATCCTTTCCTCTTGATTTAGGATTAAACTTCCTTGGCTCCAAAGCGGCTCTGCCCTAAATTTAGCCACTAAAGACATGTGGCAACCATGAATAAGAGAATTAAAACTTCTGGAGCCAGAGGAATAGTAAAAAGGGGAGAGTGTTTTCCTTGCCCACCTGGATTTGATCCCCATATGATTCCTGAGCACTGCCAGGAGTAGTTCCTGAGTGCAGAGCCAGGAGTAACCCCTGAGCCTCTCAGGTGTGGCCCAAAATCAAAGAGGGGCGGGACTTCTTTGGAGACTGAAGTAATAGTACAGTGAGTAGCACATTTGCCTTGCATGAGGCCAACCTGGCTTCGGTCCCAAGTATCATGTATGGTCCCCTGAGCCCACCAGGAATGATCCCTTAGAAAAGAGCCAGGAGTAAGTTCCAAGAACCACCTGGTGTGAGCCAAAAACAAAAACTCCTTTTTAAAACACTTGGCCTGGGGCTGTAGTGATAGCACAGCGGGGTAGGGCGTTTGCCTTGCACGCGGCCGACCCGGGTTCGATTTCCAGCATCCCACGTGGTCCCCTGAGCACTGCCAGGAGTAATTCCTGAGTGCAAAGCCAGGAGTAACCCCTGAGCATTGCCGGGTGTGACCCAAGAAGGAAAAAAAAAATAATAAAACATTTGGCCAATTACTGGAGAGAATTTGCTCCCTGAGATTATGAGAGGGTGATTAGGGGCTGTGGGAATTGTGGCTTTAGAGAGCTTCCCACCTCAGGTCGGGGGACAGCAAGAGGGGGTGAAAGGCAAGCCAGCTGTGAGCCCTGCGGGTCCCCCAGACGGCACAGGCTGTGGCCACACCCCTTCTGCCACTAACAGGAGCGTTTCCCCTGCAGTGTTGGAAAGAGTAGCCTAAAGAGGCACTAAGGTGTCACTCAAAATTGTCTGTACAAAGGCAAAGGAGTTTGCTCAAAGTTTGTGCTTGTCCCTGTCCATAGCATTCATTACCCAGATTCTGAGTCTGTTTAGTTCATTTGCTAGAGGGTCTTTCAGAGTTTGGGGCAATTTTTAGATAGAAGCTTTTTTGCACGAAGTATTTGCATGAGATGTAAGGAATCTTAAGGTTTGGGGTTGCGTGCGTTTCCTAAAGTGCATTGCTTTTGCATCTTTGCAGATATTAAAGCCTGCAGAGAAAAAGAAACCGAATGCCACGAGACCTGTAACACCTCCACGGGGTATGATCACAAAGCAGGCCAAGAAATAGATGTCATTTGACACTGCCTAGCGGGGACTTGTAACATAGAGTGTATAACCTTCATTTTCAAAACTGTAATGTGCATTGGTCAGCTTGCTCAATAGTGTGTCTGTGGAGCGCGCCCACCCTTCCATTTTTGTCTTAATGAATCCATTTGCTGGTTGTAACAGCAAATGAAAGACTCTACAATTCCACCAAGTATTTTGTTCTGTTTTTTAATTCTCGATTCCTTTTGCAAACAATTTTAATCATGGTGTTAATGCTGTACATCCCGGACAGTTATCCTTCCCGGGGGGTCGTTGTACAATTGATCTTTTTTTAATTCAGGAAAAAGAAAACAACATAAATAATGTAAGAGCTCATTTTCTTTAGGACATAAACAGAGCCCTAGGGTGCTCGGTATGTACATGTTATTGTCATATAATACATATCTGTTGATACAAGCCACTGTGAACATTTTTTTTAATTTTGTTTCAAAGGGATTGCTTTTTTTTCTCTCATTGTCTTACATGTAAAAACTATAGTTTTTATAGCTGTCAACATTAGGAGTAACTTTTCGACCTTGCCAGCATCACTGGTATGTATATTTAATTAAAGCACACTTCCCCCTACTATATAAAAGACAATTAAAGCCATTATTTTAAATGTTTGTGACTCTTTCCTAAAGCCAAAGTTTCTGTTGGAAAACACTGAAACACCCGAAGTAGAAGGTGACCTGGGTCTGTCCACAGCGGCCTCCTCGGGACTCAAACAGCGATTAGTAACTTAGTGCTAGTTAAGCTATTAATGATCAGACTTAATAACATTTTGTACAATTCCCATATAGTCTATTCACTAAGTAATCTTTTTACAGTTACGTCAGGCCTGAACCCGACCATTCAGAAAGCTTCAAATTATAGAAACAATACTGTTCTATACGAGTGACCGGTTATGCTTTCTAAGGCCACATTCTTTATTCTGCGGTGAAGTTGAGGCTTATAACTCAAAACAAAGGAACTCACTCTCTACCAGTTTATACAGAATTCACAGTATGACTTTTTTTTAAACTAAGACCTGTTAAAAAGAAATCTGTTTCAACAGATGATCGTGTACAATACCATGTGATGGAAATGAATATCAGACTTATTAAATGACGAACTTGGTAAACCCTCTGGTGTCTGTTTATCAGCTCAGTACCCACAGGAGACTGTTGGTGGCTTACTGGATAGATTCTAATGAATAAATTGCTCTGGAAACCACAGTGATGCTGTTTGGATTTGTCTTCCTTCCAGTGTTCTGTTCTCAGGCGAGGATTAGAACACGAGCATTCGGAGTTTTTGTTCTGGCCCGCACCGAGGGCGCTTCTGCAGTGGAGGGATCGGGTCACAGCATGCTCCCTTGTACTCGGAGAGCTCAGACATCATTCAGGTCCAGAATCTTCTCGCTTGGGTTCAGTCAAACTGGATTCACTTCTAGGGTTGCTTTATTATTCTCATTTCACCAGCATTTTCTTGAACATTCTTTTCTTTGATCTCTTCGTCCTTAATCTCGAGCACAGTGTTGTTGTTAATTGGTGACGGGTGTGTCCGGTGTATATTAATCTCTCAAAGCCCATCAGAAGAGGGTGAAGACATTGCTTGTCTTTTGGAAAGCCGTTTCTGCATCAAGATCTGCCCTCCTGGGTGCTGTTGGGCACTGCGCAGGCACGCAGAGCAGTGTGGCTGCATTAACAAGCCCTGGCCGGGGGCCTCAGGCGCAACTCGGACCTCGGCTCTCCAGGAGGAAGGAAGCACATCCCTCGTGGCTTCCTGTCCTACTGCTATGCCAAGCACGGGCATCGTTTCCAGTCTGCCCGCCTTCTCCCAGGACCTCTGGCTACAGGGTGAAAGACGCCAGTTCCTTGTATGAAAGGCAGACTTCCTGCATCTTTGATCTACACATGAACATTAGGAGTGGAGTCACTTCTCAGGGTTCCAAAATTCTGTAGTCAGGGGCTGGAGTGATAGCCAGCAGGGTGGGTCTTTGCCTTTCACGCAGCCGGCCCAGATTCAATGTCCAGCCCCGTATAGTCCCTCGAGCCCACCAGGCGTGATCTGAGCGCAGAGTCAGCAATAAGCCCTGAGCCATGCCAGGTATGGCTCAAAAGGTGCCTTAACACTGACTCGAAGACTCGAGAGAGACAGGTATTGTTGCAGTTGGAGATCTGTGGAGCCAGGGCTCAGACCAAAGCAGGCCCTGAGACATAGGGGCAGTCACCGTCACAACAGTCCCTGGGAGCTCCCTGTCAGGAGCGCAGGGAAGAGGATTCCCAGGGGGCTGCCGCGTGCAAGGAGCAGGTTTATGTTCCCGTTTCCCCTGCCTCTTACTCAGCTCTACACACCAGCTAGCTGCAATCTGCAAGTTGGGCCTTCTCTCCACACACAAACACCTGTCAAGGCCAAACGGACCCCCTGTGCTGGCTGGCCCACCACAGAGGAGAGAAACCGGAGGATTATAAGGATCCAGGCACAGGGAGGGTTTCAAGAGGGTCCTACAGGCCAGGGCAGTGGGAGTCATACAGGGGGCCCCAGTGCAGTCCCTGAGAAACAGGCTGCTGTGGCCCCAAAGCCAACACACAGGGGACTTGCACATAACCATCCTAAGGATAAGCTTTAAGATAGCAAAGATCCCTAAGTTCCTCCAATAGCAGGGAAAGGAACTTAATGTTTCCGTTAGGATCGCTTGATCCAGGCTATGTAAATGTCAAATTGCATTCACTGGATCGTGTGTGTGAAGCGCGACACTCCAGATGTACTCCAGTGCCTTCATCCACAAGACTGAAGGAAAGAAAATCACTGGCGCCCCTGCAATTAGCACGAGTCTCAGGATAACCGGCTGGCCTGGGAAGCCAGCCGAGGGAAGCCTGCTCAGCATAGGCTATTTGAGAACTTGAGGGGTGTGATGTATATAGCCACTGAAACGCCAGAAGTTCTCGGGAAGGTTGTCACGGTCAGTCAATGACTTGATGTATGTTACAGGAGCAAACGAAACACTTTATGAAAACTAGTGTACGGGCTGGAGCAATAGCACAGCGGGTGGGGCGTTTGCCTTGCACGGGCTGGCCCGGGTTCTATTCCCAGCATCCCATATGGTCCCCTGAGCACCGCCAGGGGTAATTCCTGTGCATCGCGGGGTGTGACCCAAAAAGCAAAGAAAAAGAAAACTAGTGTAGGGCTGGAGCAATAGCACAGCGGGTAGGGCGTTTGCCTTGCACGCAGCCAACATGACCGACACAGGTTCAATTCCCAGCACCCCATATGGTCCCCTGAGCACCGCCAGGGGCAATTCCTGAGTGCATGAGCCAGGAGTAACCCCTGAGCATCGCCGGGTGTGACCCAAAAAAGCAAAAAAAAAAAAAAAAAAAAAAAAAGAAAACTAGTGTAGCCTGTAAAGTTGGGAGCTCCCGCATTTTAAAGAGAACTTTAATACTTGATCTAACGAAACTAGCCAGCTTTAAAAGGCATGCAAAGTACTGGGAACGAGGCAGCAATGTTTAAGAACTAGAAGTTCTCAAGCCTTCTTGGGGGCTTGCACAGAGCCTCAGCTGGAGGGATCATAAAATGAAATCACTCTCAGAATTGAGCATTGAACAATCAGTTTCAGGCTCTTCGTGTTCCTAGAACGAACAGACGCCATTGGGCTACACTAGCACGCGACAGGGACAAATGGAGATGTTACTGGCACCCGCCCAAGCAAATCGATGGTTAATGGGAAGTCAAGTGATCAGAATTGAGCAGAACCTAAGCTATGGCTTGGCAGATGCAGTGCTGACTTGTTGATAGGACAGGCAGAAGGGCCCCTTTCCTCCCCTCGGAAGTGACGGCTTAGTTTTATAAAGAGGCAGAAAAGCAGAAGTACAAAGTGATAACAGCGGCCAGAAATGTTGGGGCCCAAGAGGTAAGAGGGGCGTGAAGGTGCCACATATGGCCACCCACGTACTGCCAGGAGTGATCCCTGAGCAGAGCAAGGAACCAGCCCTGAGCACTGTTGGGTGTGGCGGAGGAGCAGATAGATTGGTTCCTGGATATTGTCAAACTTGGGGGAAATTTTTTTGTTGTGTGTCCAAAACCCCAGGCTAGCATACACTCTACTACAGAGCTATGTCCCTGGATTTGGGGGATATGCAGTACCTGTTCGTGTCCCAAAGCAATTTTTTTTGGGGGGGGGGCTCTTTAGATCACACCTGGCAATTCTCAGGGGTTTCTCCTGGCTCTGCACTCAGGAATTAGTTGCTCAGGCTACCCTATGGAATGCCAGGGATCGAACCTGGATTGGCCTCGTGCAAGGCAGACGCCCTCCCTGCTGTACTATCGCTCCAGCCCCAAACCCATTTTTCTGAGATAAGTACATGTGACCAAATACTGGATTTTAATAATCACCCAAGATTCCTACTTAGGAAAAATTCTGAAGAGCCACTTCAAAGCGTGTCTTCCCTTTTCTCTCTAGCTCCCCAGTAGTTCAGGGTCAGATTCTGTGTTGCTGGGCGGACCGGCCCGCATGGCCCACAGTACACAGTCCTGCCCTGAGCTGACCGGCTGGCAAACCCTGGCAGGTGAAGCAGATGGAGAGAGTGAATGGGAAGGGGCTGGACAGACAGCTCATGAGCTGTGGGCTCAAGCTGCCCACCCTCAGCCCAGTGGTGCTTGAGAGGGCGCGAGTCTGCCAGCTAGTTGCCAAAGGGAGTTCTTGGCCCGGAGTCCAACCCAGGTTTGCCACCTGCAAGGCAAGCACCTTCCCCCACTGTCCTGTCGCTGTGGCCCTGTGATGTCTTCTAGCTGATAACCCCCATGTCTGAAGTTGGAGGATCCGTTTCTAGCTTTTGTTCCCACTGGTTGCAGTTCCCCTGTGTCCTGTGCGTATTTGAGCTGGGACCTGCATCTTTTAACTGCAGGCACATCCGCCCTCTGCACCTGCGCTGACGCTGAGCTCCCTCTCAGACCTGAGTTTGCCTCTTGGGATGGGCTGCAGCATCGACAGGAGCGAGCCGTTAAGGTGTGACCCTGGCACCGCGCTGCCTCCCTCTGTGTCCTCCCCAGCACTGCCACCAAGTGGGCAGACCGGCCACAGGCCTGGGAGGGAAACAGGGTGGGCGGGACGTGCAAAATCTTGATGCTGTTCAGGTTGCACACAGGTATGAGACGAGCCTCGAGCCTACAGGTTCCAGTGAATTCTCAGGCTAGAGCCAAGTCAGGCGAGTTGGGGCTTTGTTTTGTTTCAGTTGCTGGATTCCACCTAGCAGGCCTCTTTATCTTCCTATCACAGAGCCCAATGTGTTGGGGTTTAGGGAAATTAGGGCTGGGCCCTGTGAGGTACCTAAGAAGCCCCACAGCACCATCAAGTTTAGCCTCAAAAATGGCAGCTTTGCGGCTGGAGTGATAATCCAGCACGCAGCTGGCCCAGGTTCAATCCCTCCCAGTAGCCCTATATGATGCCCTGAGGCGGCCAGGAATGGTCCCTGAACATGCCAGGCATGGCACAAAACGAAAAATGGTGGCAACTTCATAAAAGACTCCGCTTTGAGTAGGTCAGCTTCATCGCCTTCCCCTGCGCCCTAAGTGTTGCAAAACACGCCAAGTGGAGGGCGGGAGCGATAGCACAGTGGGTAGGGCGTTTGCCTTGCATGAGGCTGACCTGGGTTCAATCCCCAGCATCCCATAGGGTCCTCCGAGCACCGCCAAGAGTAATTCCTGAATGCAGTCCAGAAGTAACACCTGAGCATCACTGGGTGTGACCCCAAAATGAAAAAAAAGGCACCCTAAGGGGAAGATCTCTGGGGTGCAGAGAAGCTTTGAAGACGAAAGTCCTGTGGGTGTTCGCTTGCCCCCCCCCCCCAAGACCCTGGTCCCACTTCTGTGGAGACCCGCCTGCTGGTCCTTTGGTTTCAGTCCCGGCTTTTATTTTTGTTCCTTTGGAGTTTGCTATTTGGGGGTGCCAGAGATAGAACTTGGGGCCTTACTCTAGAAGCATGCACTCTGCCAGAGCTGCGTGCCCAACCCCTGTGGTGTGCTTTAGAGAAAGGTTTTATACTCCAGCATTTCAGTGTAGACTCTTAGCACTTCCCTCCCCCACTTTCTTCTCCCCAAGTCTCTCTGCTTTTTTGTTTGGTTTTGGATTTTGGGCCACGCCCAGACATGTTCAGAGCTTGCTCCTGGCTCTGTACAGAGATCACTCCTGGGGGCTTGGGGGACCACATGGGGTGCTGGAAATCAAACCCAGGTCAGC